CCCTCATCTATACACAGCAGCCCCCATGTTATATCCATATTGCAGAGTTGAGCAGGAGGGGGTCCACAGTTCCTGCTAGAGCTCTCATCTCCCAGCCACCACTCCTAGTTGAGCAAGGGTCTTCCAAGGTGGTGCCTGCCACCATAGCGGTAAGGTTGGCCTGTTGTTATGGTTTGTGCCTAAATGTCCCTGAAAAGCCTCATGCAGTCATGGGGAGAGAGGTTGCAAGATGGTTGAATCTAAAGTTTGTGATTGATTCATGGTCCAATGCAAGGATTAAGGCTTTGAGTGTCTAGGGTGCATACATTATAAGGAACTAGCCTGCATACATTATAAGGAACAGAAAAAGGTTTGTTTTCCTCCCTTTCCCTGTTAGTTTTGCTGTCTTCGGTCACCGTGAATGGTTGTCCCTCAACAACGTGCCACTCTGCCTCAGAGTCAGCAAATTGTGGGCTGAAACCTCCACAAACTGTGAGCTAAATAAACCTTTCCTCCTTTAACTTTAAGTTTTGGGCATTTTGTATAAACAATGAGAGAAAAAATAACTAAGATAAGTGTCAAGAGGAGGGTTCCACCCCTGCCTACTGAAAGTGGCTAAGTGCTAGTGAGGTTATTACTGATGTAAGCTCTAATGCAATGACACAGGGCAGATTTTCCCCAGGAGCATTTCACCTTGAATAGAATTCCCAGGATGGGTTGTGGATGGACAGTGTCTGGGTGTTGACTAAGTCTTGGGAACCCAGGTAGTGGGACTCACGGGAGGATCAAAGGTCTCCAGGAGGCCAGCTAGGTTTCAAATCATTCCAGCACTGCCCTCCTGTGTGGCAGTGGAATCTTAAGCATTTTCTTGGTAGCTCTACCACTTGTTGTACTTCCCTTTCTGGGTCCTCTTCCTGCCTGTCCTTCCCACCTTTGTTGCTATTGATCCTAGCTGGTTGGACAGCATGGGACAACCAGTGTGCAGTATTAGGGGTCTATCTCATGATTGTGGGGTACAGGCGTAGCCTGGCCTTTCTAGTTCCTCATGCAGTCTATTCTTCCAACTGTGATCACTTCCCTCACAGGTACCTCTCTGCTGGACATCTGAACCTTGATGACACAGGAAAAGTCACAGGCAGAGAGGGTGATAAGCTTATGAATCTGCATGTTTTCTGGGAGGCCTAAGGGGTACTTCCCAGTCAGCCATCTAAGGCAAGGTAGTCACTGCTGCCACCCTCTGAAGTATGGGAGACAGTTTAGTCCCCCTGTAGAAGATAGGTAAACAGTTGTTCTCACAATGTCTCACACCTGCTGGCAGCTTGGGGGAGAGCACAGGGTAGTAGTGGTGGTGGTGGTGCCTGTGCCCTTTTTTTCCTTTGAGGACTGCCAAGGGTGGTGCTGGGTGTTCTGGCAGACTTTTTGAATGGGCCTCACACCACTAGGCTATCTGTCTTTGCAATCTAGAACACATACAATGGACTATTCTCCATGTCAGATAGGAACCTTTCAAGTGACTGTGCAAGACTGCCATTATACTTGCCTTTCCAGTCCTACTCCAGTGGTCTCCAAGCCACAGTTACTTAACACTTTTGTTAAAACACAACTTAAAGAAGATGTGTGGAAATGCCCTGTTCTTTCTTATGAAAATAAAAGGGACCAGCTGAGATTGGTCCAGTAGGGCTGGAACTTTCCAAAATACTGTATATGAAAGAATCTAAGAAATTGCTGAAGAGAATAAATATGAAGCAGATCTGAAACTACACAAATAATTATTAGGGGTCACTTAGGTTGACAGAGGTATATTGAGAACTGCAGAACTCTGAGTTTAAAATCCTTGTGCTACACGCTCCTGCTTGGAAAGTGTAAGGTCGTGAGTTTGATCTTTGGTACCAGAAAAACAAAAAATCCTTGTGCTAAAATAATCAACCAAACTAACTGAGTATATTTTCAAGCAGCAAAAGGCTATGTCCTTAGGGTGACTCCAGTAATACTCCACATCTACTACTTCCATTAATGTCTGCTTGAGGAAAATACAACACTCAATACAGGAAAACTTATTGCGTCCCAACCAACATCTGATAATAGGACCAGATCTTGATCTATATTTTTGAAAACTCTTAAGAAAAAAGGTTTAAAATTGAAAACAAATGTATTTCTTGCAACTCAGAATGAAGCTGGGCATTGAGACCAGATCTTGTGCCTGACTTCCTATGTAGTCTCACCCGACTCTTATCTTTCATAGTGATCAGGTGAACTTACTGTATTTTTTCCTTTCTTTTCTTCTTTTCCTTCTTTCTTTTCTCTCTCTCTCTCTGTCTCTCTCTCTTTCTGCTTTCTTTTTTCTTCATTATTATTAATTTAGTGATCAGTAAGAAGACTTTCAGGGCAGCTACCCCATCTAGCCTGTCCATTAATGTAATATGTCAGGAACTGCATGTGACAAACTAATGACTGGCAAAGAAATAAGTATTAATGTTCTTGAGATTTGCAGAACTGAAAAGCACCTCATGACTAGGTGATTAAGACAAGATGTGTGCCATTTGGCTACAAACTTGTATCTATGAGACAGTACCTTTTATTTTGTGATCACTCATCGCCTATGTAAATCATTCCTAAATCAATCTGCTGGCAGGACGAACTTTGGACAAGAACTCTTCATGTTTTTCACTCAGCCAGCTTTTTGAATAAATTTGTCATCCTTCCCTTAATACCTTTGTCTGTTGACGTAACTGGCCTGTCATGTGGCAATCAGCCAGGGTTGGGTTCACTAACAACAAAGGCTTCTTTTACTGAGAGCAATTTCTTTGAAATAATATAAAAAAGGATAAGGCTTGTCCTTCAGTCTTTTTAGGAAAATAGAATTCTTACTGAGACAACTGCAACAAATAGCTGCTCTAATTACTTTTATCAGTCTTTTTTTTTTCCACTTCACTAACTAAGCTCACACATTCCTTTGTCTCTTAAAACACACAAGTTACATCTGCACAAATCAGAATGGATCCCAGCTCTTTCCTTTAACACCAATAGTTACTGAATAAAATCTGCTCTTATTTTTTTTAACTCATATCCAGCCGCAATATATCTTTGATTTCACTAGAAGTAGAAATTCAAAAGACAAGGAAAAGGAGTCAAGGAAACTATTTTTCTAATACTAACTTCTGCATGTCACTATTCCAAACACAGTTATAAGAGACATGTAGCTGCTGGGTTTGGGGGGCCACATACTTTAAGTGGTATGCCTGACACAGGATGGATATAAGATCGGGACTGCATAAAAGTTATAGAAGCCACTATTGAAGTCTCTGGGAAGTGTAATATTTGAGGCAGAATGAGACACAATGGTCTGGACCATGGGTTTTAACAAGTTGAATACAAGATTCAATCTGTCTACTGTCAAGATGAGGAGAACTTGCAGCACATGAAACAAATCCTGCAATGTCCTCTGGAAGCTGCTGGCTGCACACCTGGCCAGGTACCTAGGTACTTCAGTCATTTTTTATTTCCTACATAGCCCTCATTGAGAAGGATCCTTGGAGCTGCTGCTTCCTCAAAGACTCCAGGTAGTGCAGTCTGAAGCACAGGCCAGGAATTCTTCATTGTAGAGCCTCTGGGAACTACTGATTACATGCTCACCTGTCCAGGATTGATCAGACATAATGACAGTGCAGTCTAGTGCTGTCAGCATAGTCCACAATAAAGAAGCTTTTGATTTTTTTTTTTTGGCTTTTTTGTTTTTATCGGTACCAGGGATCGAACTCACGACTGCCTGCTTTCAAGCTTTGAGAATGGAGGCCCACAGGATTCTATGACCCTGAATTTCACTTGACCTTGAACTAAAAAAAACTGAGATGACATTGAACTGGAATGTGACCTAGATCTTGAACTTGAACTTGTTAAGCTTGTACTATGTATATCCCATGATAGTGAGAGGGAATTTAAAATTTTAACTAAAGGCCTGCCAAGAAAGCCCACCAAGTATGCCCTCCAAAGCCCAGCAGACATATCTGGGTAAGCCTCATAACAGAACTTCTTTGTGTAATCTCTGCTTTATTGCCTTTGTGTAACTTATAGCCTTACAATGTAGCTCAAGATATTCAAAGCAACCCAAAGATGTTACCTGAACCTTCCATCATAATGCACTGAATCTATCTTTGTCCCTTCTCCTTTCTGTGCCCATGAAAGTCCCAGAATCCCACTGGGCACAGCTTACTTTTAGAGGAGAAATCCCAGTTAAACCCACTGTTGTGAAAAACTGGCTCCTAAACTTCCTCAGTGCCATTTCTTCCTGTGTTTGGTCTGTTTTCCATAACAATAGTATCCAATGTTCAAGTGCCTTACCTACAAAGAACACTGAACTTACTCCCTACCTCTAACCATAATGATATAGATGACTCTCATTCAACCCTAAAATGTAAATCTCAGTTAATGCCTATACCTAAGATCTGATTCCTAGACCAATGCTCAAAAACAATATCCACTCTAACCCTCTAGACCTGACCTTGGACCATAATCACAGTCCCTATCTCAAACCTAACCCTATTCCTAATCCTACAACCGTAACCCCTAACTCTATGTCCTTAACCTTCAATCCCTTATCCTAATACTAACATCAACAGGGTTATGAGGTAGAGTTGGTGGGTTCCCACCAGGATGGGTCTTCCCAGATATGGGAGAAAGCTCTGGAATCTTCTTTGTTTCTATTTCTTGCCTCACTGGGTCAACACATATTAGGGGCCTTGGACATGTCAGGTCAGGTGACACCATGTCCTTTCTGCCTGAGCCCCTTTCCCCCAGCTTGTAAGGTGAATACTCCATCCAGGTTAGTGTTCTAGAGGGAAGTGGAGGGCCTGGCCGATTTGGAGCTTATTGGAAAAGGACAGGGTACAAAGGAGTTGGGTGCATTTACCTGCCACCAGAGCTGGTGCCCACTAAAGTTAAACCAGTGTGGAAGTCTTCTTGTGTGGCCTAGGCAGAATGCTGGACGTTGCTAAGTTGTGGCAGAGTCTAGCAGTGCCTGTTACATGGGCAGAGACGCAGATTCGGACTGCAGGTCCCATAGCAGTCCACACGTGCACTGTTTTCAATTCAACTGTGTAATGTGGGTACGGCTTGGTGGAAGAACTTTATGTATGAGCAACTGACCACATGCACAATGGGCTAATCACTGGCCATCTCCAAATTGGATTTGCTTTTGTTGGCTCCAAAGCTTTAAACACGCGCAATAACTGCCAGGCAGAGTGCCAATCCTTAATCCCTCATCTATAGAGCTACCTGGCGCATGGAGTGTACTGCGCAGGCGCCCTGAACAGCGTCAGATCCTGGCTCGGGATTGGTCCAATCAGTCGTCGAGGTGCAGCGGGCGCTGAGTGGCAGAACATGGCTGCCAGGCCGGGACCTTCGACTGAGGAAGATGTGGGACCCACGGAGCCAGCCAAGGGTGTTGAGGGAGCCAAAGGTAGTGGCAGGTGCTGGGCTGGGCTAGAGAAGTGGTAGTGTTGGCTTCTGGGTGGGCTCCAGGCTGACTGCACTGCGCTCACAGTTCTGAGGTGACCTTGAAGTTTTTCCAGGGCGTGGAGAGCGGGGGTTACTCAATCCCACCACTGCGTTTGGCCTCTGCCACTCCTTCGGATTCGGGGGTCATCGCCACACGTGCCACCTCAGGTTTTGTTTGACTGAGGCAGAGGAATTACCTAAGAATGACGGTTTCTCGGGAATGATACTACTGGATACTACTAGTACTACTACTACTAGTAGTAGTAACAAAAGTTGTCAAGCGCCTGGGGGATGGGGTGGAGGAGGGGAGAAGGCGTCTGAGCATCCCTAGGCAGAGAGGTGCAGCCTGCTAACCGTACCCCGGGAACTCCAGAAGACTCCATGAAGCAAGAAAACCACGGTGTGAAATGTAATGTCTGAGAGACCACTACCATATCTAAGCAGGATGGGGGCAGGTGGACATGTTATTTTTAAAAACACAAATAGCTGGTGACAGTGGCTTCCTTGAGGAAGAGGAATTGGAAAGCTGATTTGAGAGGAGAGTGTAGGAGGGTACACTACTGTGGGTTTCTTACCATACTCTCCATATTTTTTTTTAAACTGGAAGATTTGTTTTTTCTAACTTTCTAGAGTTTTAAGGTGGCATAAATATTTTTCTGAACTTTAAAAAATATAAAAATAAGCAGAAGTTTATGTGTGAAAAATACATATCTTCTTTCCTGTTCCCTAGTCAGTCCTATTCTCTGAAATAAGCATTGTGTACAGTGTGTGTGTGTGTGTGTGTGTGTGTGTGACTCTAAGAATTATCTAGACATAGTACACATATATCTGTTTAATGACAGTTGTATCTTTTAACTTTGCAGCTACAGAAAATATGTCACTTTGGACTTAATGTTTTAGGATGTCTTCATATTAACATGTTACATGTAATGCATACTAGTCAAGCTTCTTTTATTGGATACACAGTATTGTATTGTGTGGATAAATCATAAATCCTGTACTGTAGGCATTCAAGTTGTTTCTTGTTTGTGCTTTGACAAATATTGCTTCAGTGTCACTGAATATCTCTGAGGACATTTGGGTGCATAAATTCCTGGAAGTGGAATTATATCTTCAAAATGCTGATCTAGTCTTCCAAAATGTTGCATCAGTTTCCAAAGCTTCTGTCAATAAATGTGAGAACTCTTTTTTTACACATCATCACACATGCTGGGCGTTTTCACATATTTATCTTTACCAGTCTTTTAGATGCAATACAATAATTTGTAATTCTTTAATCATGACTGAGATTGGACCTATATTTTGGGGAGGGCAGGGTCTCACTCTGTGGTTGAGACAGGCCTTGACCCATTGTATAGCCCAGGCTGGCCTTGAATTCACTGTGTATCTCAGACTGGCCTTGAATTCATGGCAGTCCTCTTGCCTCCGGCTCCTGAGTGCTTGGATTATAGACACTATGTCTGGTGATAGCATATATTTTAAAATACTTTTAGTTATTTATGTAGTTTTTGTTAACTGCATTAGCATTCTATTACTGTAACAAAATACTTGAGGTAATTAACAGATAAAAGGTTTGTTTTGGCTCAGTTTTGGTGATTTAAGTCAATGGTTGGTTAGTTATGTCAATTTTGGGATTATGACAAGGTGGTACATCATGGCAAGAACACATAGTAGAGAAAGCTGTTCATTTCATGCCAACCAAGATGTAAAAGTGGGGAGCTGGGCCCAAATATCTCTTTCAGTGACATTCCCCATTGATTGGAAGACTTCCAACTGGGCTTCACTTCTTAAAGATTTCATCACCTGCTAGTAGCACTATGTTCTGGGGACAAAGCCTTTTAGCATTTGGATTCTAGGAAGGACAATTATACAAACCATAGTACTGTTCTTTTCTTCGCTTTTCTGTAAATATAGGTACTTAACATTCCTTGTATTGGTTGCAAGACTAAGCTTTTATTATTATTTATTTCTATTTTTCTGTTTCTAGTGTTTTCAGTACTGGGAATTAATTCAGGGCCTTTTTATTGAGTTACATCCCTATCTCCTTTAAAATTTTTTTTTGTTTTGAGACTAAGTTGATAATTTGCCTAAGCTAGGCTTTAACTTTTGTTCCTTCTGCCTCAGCATCCCAGAGTACTGAGATTACATGAGTGTGACAACATGCTTACATTTCTATATGTTTATATTTTACTAGATTTTTTAGTGTGAATGATTTTTGAATAAGAAATTCTAAAACTCCCTAATTGATAATGCCAACTTCCAGTTAGTGATTTTTCAATTTATATTGTTTTTTATACCCTTCTTTTTTTTCTTTTTCACACATTCTTACTTTAGGAACTTTGACCCAACTTTGATCACATGAATGTGAGTACACCTCTATCTTCAGCTTGAGTTTTGTAAAGGAAATATCTGTGGATTATTGCACCATGCAGGGAAAGGCTGATCATGGAGCACTCAGTTTGTTTCTTGCATATTTTCTGCCTCACAAGAAAGTAGCACAGGCTCTGCTTTGGCTAGAGACCTACCCTCAGCCCACCTCAGTGCCAGCCTAAGCTATTGAATTCTTTGCCTGTCCTTTTATCCTGTTGAGTTTTCAAGTGTATGGTTTTGTTTTCACAGGACAGGACATATCCACACAGAAAATTGAAGACTTGATGGATATAGTGAAGAAACTGCAGAAAGGTCCTGTGTCTCTTCTGTGTATAAGGTTTAGCCTGAGGTTTGAGATCAGGCATATGTGGGTTCAGTTCCAGGTCCCACAGTTTATAGTGTTGAGAGATTATCCTGTTCAGTTTTCTTTTTTCTTAATATTGAGAATTTTCAACTAAAATAAAGCCTCCATGCTTCAAAATTACATGAGTATAAGAGGATAGAAAGCAAAATGTTTTCCTAAAATCCTGTTTCAAGTCTTTTGCTTCTCACTTATTTGACTCCTATGGCACTCTTGGATTCAGACATTTTCACCTACACCCCATTTTCTTCCACTCATTTCCTCCCACCCTTTGGTTGCTGACTAGACTCTTTCCAATCATATTTCCTTCTCAAGGAAGGCCTTTGCAATGACTGCTCCCCACCCTTAACACTTGCCAGAGATCTGCAGGACTGACCCTCCTCACTTGATGTAGAGTCTACAAAATACTTTCCTATACATGAGAAGTGCCTCCTATACCTTCACTCTAACCTTTTGTGCCCCACTTCATTTCTCTTTTCTCCAGGTACCATAACTTGACTCATATTTATTTTTCTGTTACTTCTTTGTGAGCCCATAAGCTACGCACAGGAGATACTCAGTAGATTTGTGTGAAGTGAAAACAGCAGAGAAATGGATAGGCATATATCACCTCCTCCTGCTGTCATCAATTTAGCCTCCTTTTCTCCCTACAGTGGACAGTCTTGAGCCCCGGATTGAGTTTCTGATTAACCGGATTAACGAGGTTCAACAAGGTGAGTTTAGGGACACTGGCTACCTTTCAAGACAAGCTGCATGGTTTGCTAGGCCCAAAAGTGAAAATATAGGGACCCTTGTGAAAAATGTCTAGACATATTATGACAGTGGCTGTAGAGCATTAAGTATAAATACAGAGGCCCTCTGCATGTAGTTATTATAGTCTTATACTGTCTAATCTGGCCCGACTGCTACCTGAGCTCAGCAAGAAGGGCCTGGATTCAGAAAATCTTATTTCTTGCTCTGTAAAACCTGGACCCTTCTAGATTTGCTTGAAGAAAAGTGTGAAATGTCACTCTTTGCAAAAGAGTCTTTGAACCTAGTACAAATTGAGGCTCTAGTCATACAATGTCTGTCTTTCTGATCTTTGATGAAGCAAAAAAGAAAGTCACTGAAGATCTGGGAAAAGTCCAGTTTGTCTGGGATGCCTTGCAAGAGGAACTGGACTCATGTAAGTGAGCTGGGGATCACCTGAGGTCCCTATTGTGTTCCAAGCTTCTAAGTAAATATTCCAGACACTTAGCTATCTCACCACAGCCAAGAACTTTTCCCTTTCTCCAGCTTCATGTCCTTTTTGTTTCCTCATCTCCTGATAGAAATGTTCTGGAAATTCTCTTTTCCCCCAAATACTAGCACAAATTCTCTTCTCTGAGAGGCCTGCTTTAGTCATCTTCCCTAAAGACACCACTCTGTTCCATATTTGGTCACATGCCCCTTCCTTCTTGATGTGTTTCTTTCTAGTACTTACTAGCATTGCACAAGATCCTGATGGATGCCATTTGTTAGTGCCAAGCCCTTTTGTTCTTATAGGGGTTGTTAATACCAGAGGAGCTTACACTGAGGGGTCCACAGTTGGATTGTGAATGGAGTTATATTTGGCCTCCCAAGTGACTGTCTCTGATGTCGCCATGGGTGGTGCCTAATGCCTGAACATTCTCATTATTTCCTAGTACATGAAGAGAAAGCACATCTAAAAGAAATCTTGAACAAAAAGCAAGGTATTACCAGCTTTTTTTAAATCTCTAGGCTTTTTGTTACCCCACAGAAGCCCACCCTCCCTATAGTTGCTGAAACTAAAAATCTCCTAATCTTGCATACTTCCTGTATCTTCCCCTAGCCCCAGAAAATGTCAGAGATTAGTCAGGCATCCAGAGATCAGATGTGGTCTGGCTCTGTTTCATCTGTGCAAGACTGATGGCTTGACAGGCTCTCACATGGCCCTGTTGTTCTCCCTGCAGAAAACCTGAGGATACTTCAGTTGCATTGTCAGGAGAAGGAAAGTGAGGCACAGAGGTGAGAGAACATGGCAACATTAGTTTACCTAAACCTGAACCTCATAACCCCACTTGTGGAAATGGACCTGAATAAAGAGGGAGAGAAAAAAGCCTGTAGCCACCCTTTTGGGGAGTCAGAGAACATGGCTGAAGATTGCCTTTTTTTGCAGGAAGCAGACTTTGTTGCAGGAGTGTAAGGAGAGGATTGCTTCTTTGAACTTACAGATAGAGGAGGAGAAGAACAAACAGAGACAACTGAGGTAAATTCCAGTGTATAAGGCCTACAGGTGAAGGCCTGCAGGGAAGGTCAGGTGGCATCAGAGATGGGTTAGGGTTACTGTCTGAGCAGAGCCCTGAAAGAGCACCATGGTGAAGGTGATCCCCATGGAGCAGATGGCATATAGCAAAGCCTCTCAGGGCTTTCTATGAAGATCCTTGGTATGGGCCAGGCTGTTTGGTCTCAGCCCATGGCCCTCATGCCTATGTGGTTTACTCCTAGGTTGGATTTTGAGGACCAGCTGGAGGCTCTGATGGACCAGCATAAGGACCTTTGGGAGTTTCATGTGAGTCACTCAAAACCATGCTTTCCATCTGTATGTACATCTGTGAAAGCCTTGGTGGTCCTACTGTCACTGTCATCATTGCCTGGAATCCAGGCCCTTGTCACCACCTTTGAGCCTCTCAGTGTCTTCACTATTGATCTTTTTCACTCATCCAGGCTGCCCTCCTGTGTCCATTCACTGGTCAGGAGGAACCATGATGAAACCAAGGTGGAGTGACCCATGGATGTGTTTGGGACTGTCACAGATATAGGGGAGACAGTAGGGAATATGCAGCCAGTATTTGTCTTCAGGAGATCCTAGACACAAGAAAAGAAAACCGATAAATATCAGAATGGAATGGGTCAGTAAGGAGGCAACAGAGGCAAGTGGCAGAGAGAGGAGCTGCAGTGCTATGCTGATAACCAAATGCTCAGATACACAGGCCAGAATTAGATGTTTATAGGTTCTTTTTTAGTGTTACTTTCCCCATGGCCTATTTCTAGGTGAGAGAGGTCCAGAGGGAGGGAATGGCTGGAATGGCGGTAAAGATACGAGATGTGGTGCAGGAGTAAATGACAGGAACCAGCTTGAGACAGGTTTTTCTGAGGCCTCACGAAGTCAGGACGTGTCTTTTTTCTTCCCTCTTCAGAAACCAGAGCAGCTCTCAAGGGAGATTTGTGCCTTGGACAGCAACAAGGAGCAGCTGCTCAAGGAAGGTGAGGTCAGAGGAAGGGGTGGCCTTGATCCACCCTTGTCTGTCTTCTCTTGTTTACTGTCTTTCCTACTGCAGAGAAGCTGGTTGAAGTGAAGCTGGAGGACGTGAAGCATCAGCTCTGCTTGCTGGGTGGGCCTGAGGGGTCCTCCACCTTCACTGAGGGACTCTTCCTCCGCAGCCAGGAGGCAGCAGCAGCAGTGTAAGATGAGGAAGAAGGGGAAGCAGGAGGAGGGAGGGGTTGCTGCTCATCCCCATACTTCTCCATCTCAGGCAGCTGTTCAAAGAGGAGAACAAGAAGGCTGAGGAGTTCTTGGAGGCTGCAGCCCAGCACCATCAGCAGCTGAAGCAGAGGTGCCAGCAGCTGCAGGAGAAGCGGCAGAGGTGGACCTGTAGCCCTTGCCCCTATTTCTCCTTAGGAAGGTGGTTGAGGGCTGTTTCCTTAGGCTCTGTGTATTCTCTCTTTTCTTTGGTACCCTATCTGTTCTTTTCCCCATCCTACCCTTCTCCTCACCCCTTCTGGATCAGGCTAAAAGAAGAACTGGAAGAGTTTGTGATACATGCCCAGAGCATGCAAGTGGAAGGGACTGGTCTACAAAGAGTGGTGAGTCCTTGAATCCAGTGGAAGGGAACTGAGATAGCTCCTGAAGGGGTGAAGAGGGTCCTTCCAGGGGATAGCCAAGATGAAGGCAGGTCCCAGGTGATAGGGAGAGGTGGGAAAGGATGGTATGGGAATGTGGATGGTAGATACTGTCATTGTGGTCCCTCACTTTCCACAGGTCAGTTCCCAAGGTTCCAGCTGTCTTTGAAGAGAAGAATTCAGAGCTTCCCACCAGAAAAGGCTTGATACTCCCCTGGGCCAAGTGGATGCTTTTGGCCCCAGCCTTATCCCATGGTGCTGCAGAAATTAAAGGCATTACTTTGATCTACCTCAGTTGAATCTGTGAGGGTGGGGTGGTCGAGCTCAAAAACTTAGAACCCTGAAACTGGTGGAGCCATAGCCTGACTCTACCTCTTGCTGTACCTCTGCACAGAGTCCACCCTGCAGGTACGCAGAAAATCCTTTCCCAAACTCCTTGTTTCTAACATGCTTACCACTATTGTCTGACACACTCTTCTGGCCTCAGGCAGAATGATGCAGATGTGGACATTCTCAAAACGGGCTTGAATCCTAGGGGGCGGGGAGTTGGGTGGTGGTGCCTGAAATATACCTGTGATGATTTAATTCCCTTACATAGGCCTGAATTGTCTACCCTCTTGTAAGAAATGAAAATAAATGATTGAAAGCCATTCAGTTCCATGCCGTAGTCCCCCTTGGCAGCTGAGAAGAAGAAATACAACTCAAGACCGTGTGTACTATGCATAAAAAAGACACCTCCTGAGTTCCTGAGACTTCCTGATACTTGTAGCCAGGAAAATGATGTTAGAGGTGCTCTGTGTGCACAAAGTCAATCAGCTAGGACTTAAAGGTTATACATCAGAGGCATGCTTCACATCCACTAAGCTGTGACTACCCAGTTGGGGCTGGTGAGGGGCCACAGTCTGCTTCTCTTGGGTTCAAATACAGTGAATGGATGACATGGGGGCTTCCTTCTCTTAGTATACTGCATAGGCTAGAGACACCATGGATGGAGAGAAAGATGAATCAAGGTTGTCAAACTAGGGAATGTTCTTTCTATGGAAGGACAGAGACATGGCAAGTTGGGAAGTTCTTTACTCAATCCAGGACTTTGTGCAACAAACCTAAAACTTGGTTTCAGTTCTTTTTTTAAAAAATTTTATTTAAGGAGGAAAAAAAAAACAGAAAAAGGGTACAAGTAATACAAAATTTAAAAAATAAACAGTAAGAAATCACTAATTAATAGGGTAACCCTAACCCTAAACCTAACGCTAAACTCTTAAAAATAACCGTAACCCAAACTGTAACCGTAACCCTAACCCTAACACTAACCCTAACCCATAACCCAATCCCTAACACCTAAACCCTAAACCTAATAGTAAACCTGACTCTAACCCTAAGATTAAATCTAACACAAACCCTAACCCTAGATTACATATTCTCATTTTAGAAATAGTTGTTCAAGTTACAAAATTAAAGCATATAAAGTAGACTTTCAAACACTAAGACTGCAAACAGTTTTGTTCAATGATCCAACAAAACTCAGTAATACAGTTATCTATCTTACACACTTAAACATATATGCAGTTATAACCTTTACAGCACTTTCTTTTCTTTTGTACAATGACAACTACACATTTTGCGTTTTATTACTCCCATAGTTCTTATTACTTTTTTTGAAGAGAGTAAAACCAAATGTGACGTATCAGAACAGAGTCAGTCAAATCAAAAGGATGGACACAATACATAAAGTAAAAACAAAATACAAGGTGATCAACAATGGTTACCATACTGCCTCTTGCTATCTTAAGAAGAATTGCCTATATCATCAGTTATAATAAAATTGAACAAAACAGTAAAGAATAAAACCAAAACATTGGAGACATTACAGGACTTTAAAAAAAGATAATAGTCAACCAGAATGGGCATCATAATGAATCTTACTGTCTTCACAGTTGTTGCCTATACTTTCGAACTTGGTACTATCAAGCTAAGTAGATTAGGGGAAAATAAGTCAAAACAAGATGGTGAGGGCAATACAGGGTTTCAAATCAATAGGAAATCAAAGTAGGTTACTATAATGTATCCTGATATTTTTTATTTATTGTTCCCTTAATTAAAAAGAAAAATAAAAAAGTAAATAATTAAAAAAAGGAGATTGAGATAAAAGAGGGCGTAACAACAAAACAGTGCAGGTCAAAACATAACCATTTAAGCAAAATAGTGTTACACCACAAGATATCCTGACATAAAAGTAGTTACCATACTCTTTCCTTGAAATCTGAGTATAACTTCATATACTGTAGCATCAAACATATCCAAACAATGTAAAACCATTGAAGAGAATGACGTTATTACAGGGTATTTACAACCAACTAACAGAAAATGAACAATGGTTTCTGTATAATCTCCTTGTGTATAAAAGTTTTTACTTATATTATCACATTTTAAAAAATCCAATAAGATACAACCTGTTAAGACTGATGGAGACAGAAGAATAAAAGCTTGATGGGACTGCAAAACAAGATGATACTAAATCAGCACTAGCTATTATAATGTCTTGTTTTCTCCAAAATAGCTGTTCCTACCATCCAATCTTCTCTGCCTCATTTTGTTGAGAGCCTTTTCTGTCATTTGTCTTCTTCATTTCACTTTCTGCACCATTCATTGTGGCCTCTCTGCCACTATTTCTGGAATCTTGGTATTTTCCTTTTTTAGAATGTCCTGCAGTATTATCTGTGGAGTCGAACTGGTGGTTGCAAATTCCCCTAGTTCCTCTTTATCCTGGAAGCATCTTGTTTCTCCATCAATTTCTAGGGACAGTTGTACAGGATATACCAATTTTGGCTGGAAGTTATTATCTTTCAAAGCTTGAATTATTTCCCCCCACACTCTTCGTGATTTGATGGTTTGTGCTGAGAAGTCTGCTGTAATTCTGATGGGTTTCCTTGTAAGTGATCTGTTTCTTGTTTCTGACGGCTTTTAATATTCTGTTCTTATATTGGATTTCTGGAATTTTGATTATTATATGCCTGGGGGTAGCTCTGTTTGGGTTGTAGGTGGCCTGGGTCCTGTATGCCTCACACATCTGAGTATCTTTACCTTTTGCTAAATTAGGGAAATTCTCTTGGATTATTTCTGTTAATAGCATTTGTAGTCCATTTGTTTGTGTCCCTATTTCTTCTTTTATGTTCTTAATTCTTAAGTTATAAATCCTCTTATCATCTTCTAGCCTTTGTACTATTGCTGTTTGTTTTCTTGTTATTTTTAAGAAGTTTTTCATTTCATGCTCCCACCTTACAAATCTGTCCTCCAGTTCAGATAATCTATCCTTACTTTCTTTCAAGACGTTATGCCAGCTTTCAACAGGGTTTTTAGTTTCCTGGTAATCTCTTTTTTAAAAATTTTTATTTAAGGAGAAAAAGAAAAAAAAACAGAAAAAGGGTACAAGTTATACAGAATTTCAGAAAAAATAAACAGTAAATCACTAGTTAGTAGATTACAGATTGCCATCTTAGAAATAGTTGTTCAAGTTACAAAATTAAAGATTATAGAGTAGACTTTCAAACAGTGAGACTGCAAACAGTTCTGTTCAATGATCCAACAAAACTCAGTAATATGGTTATCTATCTTATGCACTTAAATATACATGCAGTTATATCCTTTAGAGCACTTTCTTTTCCTCTCTTTTGTACAATGACAATTACACATTTTGGGTTTTATTACTCCCACAGTTCTTATTACTTTTATTTGAAGAGTAAAACCAAATGTGACATAACAGAACAGAGTCAGTCAAATCAAAAGGATGGATAAAATACATAATGTAAAAACAAAATACAAGGTGATCAACCGTGGTTACCATAATGCCTCTTGCTATCTTAAAAAGAATTGCCTATATCACGAGTTACAATAAAATTGAGCGAAACAGTAAAGAGTAAAAACCAATAAAACCGAAACTTTGGAGACATTACAGGTCTTCACAAGAAGATAATAGTGAACCAGAATGGGCATCATAATGAATCTTATTGTCTTCATAGTTGTTGCCTATACTTTCGAACTTAGTAGTATCAAGCAAAACAGAATAGAGGAAAATCAGTCAAAACAAGATGGCGAGAGCAATACAGGGTTTCAAATCAAGTTAATAGGAAATCAAAGTGGGTTACTATAATATATCCTGCTATTTTTAATTTATTTTTCCCTTAATTAAAAGGATAAAATAAAAAAGTAAATAATAAAAAAGATTGAGATAAAAGAGGACATGGCAACAAAACAGCACAGATTAGAACATAACCATTTAAGCAAAACAGTGTTTCATCGCAAGATATCCCAACATAAAAGTAGTTACCATAGTGTCTCTTTCCTTGAAATCTTTGAGTATAACTTTGTATACTGTAGCATCAAACATATCAAGACAATGTAAAACCATTGAAGAGAATGACATTATTACAGGGTATTTAGAACCAACTAACAGAAAATGAACAATGGTTTCTGTATAATCTCTTTGTCTATAAAAGTTTTTGTTTATATTATCACATATAATAAAACCCAATAAGACACAACATGTTAAGACTGATGGAGACAGAAAAACAAAAGCTTGATGGGACTTCAAAATAAGATGATATTAAATCAGCACTAGCTATTATGATGTCTTGTTTTCTTCAAAAAAAAAAAAGGAAAAAGACAAAAAAAAATTCTGTTCTTATATTGTGTTTCTGGAATTTTGATTATTATATGCCTGGGTCCTGTATATGCTCTTTTTGGGTTGAAGGTGGCTGGGGTCCTGTATGCCTCATACATCTGAGTATCTTTACCTTTTGCTAAATTAGGGAAACTCTCTTGGATTATTTCTGTGAATAGCTTTTGTAGTCCATTTGTTTGTGCCCCTACTTCTTCTTTTATGTTCTTAATTCTTAAGTTATAGATCTTCTTATCATCTTCTAGCCTTTGTATTATTGCTGTTTGTTTCTTTGTTATTTTTAAGAAGTTTTTCATTTTATGCTCCCACTTTACAAATCTGTCCTCCAGTTCAGATAATCTATCCTTAGTTTCTTTCAGGCTGTTATGCCAGTTTTCAATAGAGTTTTTAGTTCCCTGGTAATCTCTTTGAATCTGCTTCACGTATTGTATGTTTTCTCTATTTTCTCCATCAAATAATTCTCCCCTTTTTTTCTGTTCTTCCATTCTACCATCTGTTTTTTTCTTGGACAGTGTTTAGCATTTCTCTAACTATTCTACTTATATCTTGCTTTATTTCATTATATACTTCACTTTTGAACTTGTCTATGAGACTCTGGAGATATCACTTTATGTCTGTTGGTGCTGTGTCTGATATTGCATGTTTTCTGTCCTCATTCTCCTTTGCATTTATCTTTCCCAGATCAGTGTTCTCAGGATTGGGGACTGAGGACCCTTTCTTATTGCTCTCTCTTCTCATATTTTTTTGTTCCTTCCATACAAGTGTATATAGATGGCCCAGTTTCTTTCTTTGTTGGTTACCGTTTGTTTGAATTGTGCCGGCTAGGTTTTCCTGCCCACTGCAGTGTACTAGGGAGACACAGACCTGGGCAGCCTATGCTTAGCCCCCTCTCCAGGTCAACCTACCAAAGGCTTCACTGCTAGGGTGCACCTCCAGGCTCTGGGACCTGGTTTGGGCTAGCCTACTGG